ATAAACATAACAGAGGGGATGAGCCTGTGCATTTGGTGACGGTAGGCACATGATAGCACTACTGAAAAAGTTGTGTATTTTTGTGTCAGTTTGTTATTCATTGAAAGTGATTACAGTGTTTTCAGAATAATTTTTTGTGGTGAGAAAAAATGAAGAATTTAGTTTGTAATTAATTGTTAGTGATTACAGTGTTTTCAGTATTCATGATAATATTTTTGGTGAGAAAAAATTGAGTGTTAGTTTGTAATTGTAATAGTGATTTCAGTATACATGATAATTTTTTTATGAGAAAAAATTGTGTGATAATTTGTAACTAATTATCAGTGATTACAGTGATTTCACTATTAAAAATAATTTTTTAAAAATTTTTACAGTGATTTCAGTTTTTGTGTTAAAGAAGTTATAAAATGGTCAAGAAAAATATATTGTGTATTGTATTCTTTTTCTTTGTTATTGTGATATTTAAATGAAATTATCTGTTTACTAACTTGATAAGCAAACTTTTGAGATGATTGACTTGGTCTACGCAAAAATGTATTTAATCATAGTAATAATTATATGTTGCATTTTCACGAATTCGGTTTTGGGAATCTTAAATTTTTTCTTGAAAGTCAACAAACATAAAAAATATTGTTAAAAATTATGTATATATATACAAAATTAAACATTTAAAATTAATAAATAAATTTTATGATTCGTTCAAAATTTTATGTTATTAAATTACAAAAAATTAACACGCGCGCGTCCGGTCTCGTATTTGACATAAAGTAACAACCGATCTATTAAAAATTTTAAACTTATCTCAATATAAACATTTAAAAATTGTTCATAAATAAATAGTTTAACAATAAATCGTTAATTTTTATTGCCTCGTTCAAATTTAATTTTTAATTAAACTGAATTAAATCGAGATAAAGTTAGGGAAGATAATAGATTCTTTTTGAATTAGGAAATATAAATAAAATTATTAAAATTTAATCTGTTACATAACAATAGCAATAATTAAATTGTATATATGTTGTGAGATAAAATATGAATTTAATAGTCTCTTGTCAAGTTATAGATCGGGTGACATAAATAGATCAGTAACACTGGTGCGCGTCTACGATCGATAGAATATAGTGGTTATGAACGATCGCTTATTTGCGACTACCTATTTATCATTTAGCTGAACAATTATGTCACCTCCGACGATAATATCGTTACTTTTGCCTGGTGCATGACGAACGATACCAACATATATATATATAGTTTGTCGCGCTTTTACACGAGCTGCACGTCAGACAGAAGAACGTATTTATTCTACGTGTTTTGCGAACTTTCACAAATTAGCTTTCCACGGAAATGGATAGGCGAAGAGTAACAGAGAAAGGGAGAGAGAGAGAGAGAGAGAGAACTAAAAGAGGGTAAAAAATACTTTGGTAGGGTTCAGGGCAGATGTAACTATGAGAACAATGCGAAAATTGTTCGTTACTAAATTCAAGTGGAGAGTTTTCTCTCTCGCTAAATATTGTATTCTCGCATAGAGTCAACAAAAATTTTATGAGAGATAAATATTCTCACTCGATTTTTCATTATTAAATGTGAACAAATTTTTTTTTTTTATCTTCAATCTTTTATTTTTTTGCTTTTTATTATTTAATGTCAATAAAACACATGAATTTATTTTTCCAACACTATATAAAATTTATTATAAATTAATGAATTCATATATAGAAATAGAAATAAAAATAGAAACTACGATCTATAAATAATAATTTTTTAAATCCATTATAATAAATGACTAAATATTAAATTAGTAAATTAACCCATTTTGAAAGGCGAAAAAAAATAGATATAGATCTTTTGCCTCGTGTAATTTAAATCCCTTTTCATATATATCTATAAGTAAAAATAAAATATATCCCCGACGGTATATGTATATAAAAATATACGATATTAAATATTATCCTACAATTTAATTAAAATTAATTTCACTATATACTTAGAAAAGCTCAGCTCTTCACTAATTCAAACGAGCGAAGCAGCACATGTTGCTCTTAAATGAAAATATCTTGTAATTAGTTTACACGCGTAAAAGTCGCTTTTTCTAATTTTAATAACGCAAAACTCTTTACGTTAACTGGTTTTCATTCTCGGTAACAGAATCATTTAACAAGTAATGAATTTCCTCTTCGCTTATACATATATAGTAAATGAAATTCTAAAGAAATGTGTATACCGTCATATTTATAAATCATTTTTTTTATATATAATTAGAAAAAAAGAAAAGGAAAATAATTTACTAGATCATATATTATATACTTTGTATATCTAATTTCTTCGTGTGTATTAAATTTAGATACTCCAAAAAAAAAAGAAAAAGTTAAATGAAGTTTTTCATTTACGAAGTAAATATCTGTCCATCATTTTCATATTTTTAAACGCAACACGTAAGCAAATTTTTTATTTTTTTTCACTCCAGTAAAATTCTGTTTTAAACCTTTTGCACGCTTCTTTATTTTATGAGAGAGAGCAAGATGTACAATTTTTTTTTTTTTTTGAAACTAGAATTCCATTTGCGTGAACTGTTACGTATATATTTAAATATTGTGAAACGATTTTAAATACAAAAAACAATCACTCTGCGGCCAATTTGTTGTAAATGCAAATTTTCCACACTCGCAATTTAATTTTAAAAACAATTTCACATTTTGTTTAAAAAAACCTGGCACTATTTTTTTGTATAATTGATGAAAAATAAACTTTTAAAATTAAAACTTAATTTATTACAATTTAATTTTATAATAAAAATGGAAAAAAGTTTATTTTACTCAAATTAAAGAGGAAATTTATTTAAATTTGTAATAAAAATTCTCTTTTTGCCTTTAAATAATGTCTTTTATTAAATATTTTTAACATTGAAATAAAAAATTTTTAAATTTGATATTTCTCGTTTGTAACATTTTTTTTTAGCAAATATATAAAAATATATTATTGTATAGAAAAAAAATATAAATAATAATAATAATAATAATAATAATACAAAAAACTTTCTCTTCAGTTCGTGAAAAATGTGAAGAGCATTCTAATTTTCAAAGTCTCGCGATCAGAATAAGTTTGTCGACAGGCGCGGAATACGAAGAGAATAACAGTATTACTGAAAAGGCTCAACTTCCACAAGTGGTGCATATTAACGTGCCAGCAAAGCAACTGCACCACAATTTTTATATTCCAACCTCATCTGATATCTACATTTCAATTTCATCAGTCTCGACTCGATGATGGAAAAATTTCAAAACTGACTTTTTGTATTAACATTGATTATAGATTTATAAACCGTATTAATATATAAATAATTTTGTAGCGTACAAATAACCTAAAATAATATCAACTCTGATTTATCATTTTGTTTTATATGAAAAACACTTGCGAGGCATTAAGGATTCTCATCGGATTACAAAGATGTTAAGGACATCATTAACGATCATTGAGATTGGAAGTCGACAAGGAAAGAGCTTCCTGGTGTATATATTCGGATGAGTTCCTAATATTCAAGAACACTAGAAAGACGAAAATGCTGTTTTGTTGACGATCTGTTAAAATACTACTAGCAGCCATTTTCCTATGGACTTCTTATATCGATCAATTCAACATCTGATAGTTTAGGAATCTACGTTACCGACGGCCGCGTATCGATTATCGATTGCGGATATTGTATTGAATATTAATTAATATAAATGACACCGAGAAGAGAGGTCGCTAATTAGCGACGCTTTCGAGTTTGACTTGTCGGCCATTTTACTCTCATTCTCATCCTGGTGTTCATCGAGTTAGTGTCATTCTCTTTTGGTGAAATATTTCAAAATGTAAAGTGTAAAATTCAGACGAGGTAATAATCGTCGTTGTCATCATTTAAATTCGAACAGTGAGTCCCAATTATTTTAATTTAAGGTCGTTTTCTTCAGATTCGATCTCATTATTATTAAAATATAATTGAATAAATAAAATTTGAATTTTCTCCTTCGGTCTTCTGCCAATTTTGACTTTTTCTAAATTTTGAAGTGAATATTAATAAATAATTTAATTGTTATAAATTTTGTGTAATTAATGGTGTATATCCTTATCCCCCCTCTCCGAAGTCTATTGTTGTTGTCAGGTAACAATGTATCCGAGCTGGGTTTTTCCTATGTAAAATTGTAAACTTTTACTTTGACAGGTTATTTAACTATTTTCTGGTTTAGTTATTTTTCATTCGAAAGAGCAGAAAAAAACTTTCGAAAACATATAGGTTAGTTTTTTTCATCCGGTATAGTTATGATTTTTAAAAAAATCCACTGTTCATATTTGACCAAAGTTTGAATCCCCTTACCCCTCTACAGTTTTGGATAAAAATTAATAATAATTTATGGGAAAAGTAGTCACTCATAATACTAAATGTCACGTACATTGCAGCGCGATCTAAGAAAAAATTTTGTTTGAATTGTTACATTTCAGAAATTTTGCCTTATATATTAAATAAATACGTGATGGCGCCAATCTTACTTCACTCTTGTTATAAATTGCAAAAGAAAGTTTTCCTTTTCATTTGTATATATCAGTAATTTTATGCAATCGTGGACGATAATTTCTCCTGCTAAATCAATGACGAAAATATCAGTTTTAGTTAATCGTCACGAACACTTATTTTCAGAAAAACTGTGGATCAATAAATAATGTGTTGGTAAAAGTAAAACTTCATAGCACGCAACATTTTTTTTCTCTATTATAATTGTAAAATATAATTTTAAATATAAAACAAAAAAATTAACTGTAAATAATATTTAGGGTGGCTATCACTGAAAAAAGTATCATTGATTGGAAAAAATTCATGTAGTTTTTCGAATTTGATCCATTAATTTTTTTAATTCAAAAAAATCTACTTCCATCTAGTAAAATCTTTTTGGATTAAAAAAATATAAAAATAAAATAACAAAGAAAAAATGGAGGAATTAAATAAAAAATTTTAATTTCTGTTTCAGAATTAGTGACATGGCTATGTGGCTACCGTACTGGATATACGACCACTAGGACCAGAGTTCGATTCTTCCTGATTACGACATTTTTTTTATTTTAGAATTTTATTAATTTTTATTTTCATACTTTTTTAAATTGTTATATAATCATGCAATTTTAAAATAAAAAATATTTCTCGACAATTATTAATAATTTAAATGATATAAATCTATATCGATTTTTTATATATTAGTATTTAAGATTAAAAAAAGAAAAATGTAATGCTCTCTCTCTCTCTTTCTCTCTCTCCCAAAATTGCATCCTCCATTGAATGTGCACCTTCAAAGATTTAATCTTTCTCCATAATTCTCACATGTAGCACCGTCTAACTAGAAAGTAATGAATCGGGTATTAAATCGCTCTACTTATAAGACCTATGAGAACAGATTTAATCCGCAATAACTGATTCTCTTTATGTAGCAACGGGACGATCATGGTACGATTTTCCAGTAACAAATTTTATGCAAATCCTAAATTTCCCCCATTCGTAAATTTATACAGTCGACATAAACTTTGGAAAATGTATTTCTGTATAAATTATAATAAAGAATGAAAATAAATAAAATTGGAGGGTGTTAAAATTTTACATTAATTTAAAATATATTTGTTAATATAGGTTTTTTTATACAGTGGAAATAATTCTGGAGAATTTGAGAAATATTTCTCGAATTATGTCCTAGAAACTCTTCTATAATATTAAAATCTTAAATTCGGTTAACCCCTTCGCAGTCTAGTAGCAAAAATTGTTTGTGTGGGCCCAAAACGGTCCAAGAAAAAGTTTCCATGTCAAGGGATTAAATATATATTTTTTATTCTTTAGAAAAGAAATTATAATTGTCCAAATTTAATCATAGGTAAGTTTCACGTGAAATCGGCCATATAAGTTATCTTGACATTTCAGTGTGGTAAACTGTTTCATACATATTAATTCCCAATGGAGTAAACTCGAGTACTTTGATTCAACTTTCATAATAATTAAAAGATATAGATTTTATTAATAAATTAAATTACGTAAGATTTTTTTAACGTTAATTAATTACGTACGTATACAATTTTTATTTTATATTTTTCAATTTAATTTTCCTTTTTCTTTAAAAAAAAAAAAAAAATTCATTCATCTTATGAATTAGAAATTTAATGATGAAAACATAATAAATGAAGTAATAAAAAAATTACTTCATGTACCCGACTTTGAGGGAAGTTTATAAAACTCTCATTTCAAATATATACATTTATTGATTAGTTTTTCAGCAACCATTACTGGAAGGCAAAGACTACTTGGAAAAAGGAATGTGTTTGTATGTGTACCTATATATATAAATATATATATATATATATAAAGTATTGCGTTTCTAAAAGTCAAGAGTGTTTGTGCACATGAAACTGATAAAACCAATTTGACACGGATTCATCGCAACGTATAAAGTTGCGATTCTTCGCTCGAGCAACATTTTCAACGAACATCGTATTGCCATTCGTTTTTTTTTTGCCTTTTTTTTTCTTTTCCAAATAACAAGCATCACGAATGTACCAGAGAGAACCTCGTTGGCTCCTAAAAGTAACGGGTTATTATTCCTTATGGTCACTTTACACCAGAAGCATGCACTAATGTCATTATTTTTTCATACGCTATTTTTCACGCTAATAAAATTATATTCTCACAAGTATACTTGTATATAGACTTTAACGATATTAGCGCGATTTAACTAATATTTTTTTCACTAACACAAAAAATGACGATCAAAAATTACTTATAAAAATTTCCACTCGGAACAATGTCAAGAAAAGAAAAAATAATGTTAAACCCCTTTCTTAATTATCTGGAAAATGCAGAATATAAAACTACAATCTTGACTTTACTTTCACTTTAATTTCACTTCACTTTCTCTTTCACTCTATTTCGACTCGATTTTCACTTAACTTTCAATTCACATTCACTTCACTTCAGGTTCACTTAATATTCACTCCATTTTCAGTCGATTTTTATTTTCACTTCACTTTCACTTTGTTTTCACTCGATATGTACTTCACTTTCACTCCATTTTAAAGACCTTTTACTATGAAGTGAATAAAGGGAAGTGAGTATCGAGTGAAAGTGAAAATTTGAGTGAAGTGAAAATGAATTGAAAGAAAAGTGAAAGTTAAGTGAAAATCGAGTGAAGTGAAAGTGAAGTGAATATCGAGTGAAAGTGAAGTGAAAATTGAATGAAGTGAAAGTGAAAATTGAATGAAGTGAAAGTGAATTGAAAGAAAAGTGAAAATTGAGTGAAGTGAAAATGAAGTGAATATTGAGTGAAAGTGATGTGAAAATGGAATGAAAGTGAATTGAAAGTAATGTGAAATGTGAAAGTTAATTAAAAATCGAGTGAAGTAAAAATGAAGTGAAAATGGGGTGAAAGTGAAGTGAAAATTAAGATTTTTCGAGTTAACTATTTTGCAGCTGCTATTAAATGTTATTTTTCACTAAATTTACCTAAAAAATTATACTTTTTTATGGTATCATAGTTAACGAATTTCTAAATGAAATTTTTGTTTATTATATTATATTTCGACTAAAGTCGTCGCATAATTTGTTATATTAATATTAAACAATATTTTGCAATTTCAAATATTTAAATTATTTTATCATACACGGGAAAATCTTATATAAAAAAAAAATATATATACATCTGTTCAGAGTTTGTGGAATTCGCGAGATTCAATTTTAAAGGCAAATAGCTTTAGGATTCTTCTATTCCCGCATGTCAAAATATAAGAAAATGCCATTGAGGAAGGAAAAGCAAGTTAGGGCATCTCGAAAGTTGTTCGATTTTGTCGCGTAAAAATAAACTCACTTTCTCTTTAAATAAAATTTTGTACTATTCTTTTTTTTTCTCTCTCTCTCTTTTATATGCGTCATTTTATATTCAATGTGTGCAAAAAATTTTCAAGAGTATTTCACCATTTTTATATTCTATGACAATTCTCTTTGTTTGCATAAAAGAGTCACTGTCTCATTATTATGTAAAAAAAAACAAATATAATCTAAATGTACAACATTACTGTATATTATCTGTTATTTTGTTAAATAATTAGGAAAACTTTTTAAATTTGAGATAATAACAACTATATAAGAATCTTGAGTATCATAAAGAACGTGGAGTTTTGATATCAGAGAATCAGATATTTGTAATTTTGTTATTTTTAATATGTTGGTATAGTAAAATAATTACAAACAGAAAAAATCCATAATACCCTTAGCAGCAGAAAAAAAAGATTATTTTTTGTTGCATTTCTAAATTTACGTCAAAACTAGTACGCACTATCTGTTTTCATAACACTTCCGCTTGTACAAGAAAAGATGTTTCAAATTAACAGTTCCCAAATGTTGACACATATTATTTAAAACAATATTTAAAATACAAATAATCAACGGCGTTATTTCAATTATAAAAAACCACATCCTCCGAAAAAAAATGCTCCAAACATTTTAAAGAAAGATATTAAGTGAATTTATTTTACCTACAACCTAATAAAATTCCACCTCAATGGAAGTATAAAAGCAAACCTTAAAAAAAATCCTGCTTTTTCATGAAAACATCTATATAGTAAAATAATCGAGAAAGTAATTTTTACACCTTGTAAAAAAAAGAAAAATTTTAGGAGAAAAAAAATTCTACCCAAAAAAAGCTCGTGTGAATTCACAATGTGACGGATCATCAATCCGCAACGTGTAAAACTTAAAATTCTGAAATAACATCAAGTCTAGTCTCTCTACGTGTACACAATTTTATTTTCTGAAATATGGAAACGATCCTCTATTTAGAATAATATATATAGCGAACGATAAACAAAAAAAAATATTTTCACTTTCAGGTTTAGTTTTTCAAATGTGCCAAAGTAATGTACATTTGTAGAAACAAATTTAAAGTAGCTAGAAAATATTCTCTCGAAAACCACAGTACAAAATACACGAATGCATATATATATATATATATATATATATATATATACAATGTAGACCTTGGTTGAAAGTTTAATAGTATTTTTAAGAACTCCCAGCCGGGAAATTGAATTGTACTGTTAAGAAAGTATATACTCGAATGATACTAAATCGAGAATTTCTGCTTTTTCACAGAGATTTGAAAAAGTTCAACTTCGCCGAGACCGATCTCAAAGATATTTAGTCGAATAATCGAACTGAGATTCGTTTCAATAAAACTTGCTTTTCTTGTTCAAATCAGCCCGAAGAAATTCAAGAGTACTCGACCTCAGTTCGATTTTATCGTCAGTGACAATTTTCAAACAGGGTCAATATAGCGTTCTTTTACATAATTTACAAGCTTTACTCACGACTTAATTATAATCAAAGTGCAATTTAAAACAATTCTATCAAGTATAATTGGGGCATTTCACTTGAAATTTTTTTTGAAGTAATTAATTTTTTTTTGAAATTGTTATGAAAAATAAGAAAATACGTATTTTTTTATTTGATAAAAAATTATGAAAGTTACGATTTTCTTAAATTTAACGTAGTTAAAAATTTTAAATATAATTTTTAGTTTATACTTTTAAAAATGAAACAAAATGTCTTCATAAATACTGCAATGAATTTTATTTAATAATAAAATAAAAAGTAACACATATATATATAGCGGATAACGTGAGAAGATACAATGGGTTTGTAATAAAATTCAGTGGACTTTAAATAGAAATTGTATATATGTGTGACAATCAAATTAATTTTAAAAGAGTGCACCTGGTCTCGTGAGTAAAGTTCTAAAACAATAGAATACATTCTTTCAAACTTATACTGCGTCCTCGATTTAAAAGCAATGAAGAAAATCTAGGGAACGTGATCTGAAGTGGAAAAGACTTTTTTAAAACTATTTTATAATTTCATTACCTCCTTTAAAATAACTCAACTTCGAAAAAAAAAATCCGCAATTGATATATCATGACAAATTGGTTTCAAAAATCGATGTTAAATTAAATCAAGTTATAATTTTTCAACACGTAGTGAAAAATTAATAAAAATTTTTTTTGAAACTCAATAGTGACTAACTAATTGTATAGATTTTTAAAAATTTTAGCTAATTAAAACGACAATTTACCGCTGTAAAGAAAAAGAAATAATTTTTAAATTCTAATTGTAACTGATTTTCATATGAAACTTACAGAATGTCAATACCTCAGGGTAAAGAAAAAGGAGATTTTAAAAAATTGTACCTACAAATACCATTACTAGAATTATGCTTTTATTCAATCGGTCATTAAAGAAGACTTTTCGTGATAATTAAAAGAATTCTCCATATCTAAGAATTGTGACAATAATGACAGGCATTTCTTTTTTCATTTTTGTTTTATGTCTGTCTCTTGAAACGTACTTGGTCTTTATCAACAATGGAAACTTTTCTTTGCAAAAATGGCATTACACCTTTTCTTTTGTATAACGAAGGAGAATTGGCTCGTCTTGTAAAAAATTTGGTTTCAAAAAAAAAAAGGAACACTCACTGAGA